GCCATAGAGCATGATATCGATTTAATCGACGAACAGGTACTTTTCAGGCAAATTTATGAATACCTTTTTGTTATAAATTTTTTTCCCGGGCAAATTTGGAGTAGCGATTACTTGTATAAAGCTGAAATTAGGTGTTCTGATTAGACAGGGAAAAATCCACTCTCTGTACGGCTTGTTTTGAAGCTCAGTAGGCACTGGCACATGCCCGAGAGTCAAAACCGCCATCAATCTACTTTTGGATAATTGATTTTATCACTTTTCAAGGAAAGGTGAAATATGATGGAGTTGCTACTCAACTGAAATTTCTCCCACTTTTATTTAGGTTTTGTACACGTAAGTAAGTGCATGTCCTCGATTTCTTGATTCGGCTAGACCAACTTCTATATTTACAGCGTCTCCTGGAAGTTGCTTATGGGTATTGTAGCATTATTCCTGTTACCAGCGCATTTTAGCATTACGCACCGACTTTGCCGTCTGTGTTCCCACCCATTCCGCACCGACTTTGCCGCTTGTGTTTACAGTTTAGGGATGAAACATAGACTGGATAACAGCTGAATGTACATATAGGCTCGCTTATCTGGGTATCTGAATTGACACTTTTTGCTTTCCCACAGCCGTCAAAATCGGATTGTGTTCCTCTCAACGGCGGGCCGACAGTACCAAACAAACTATGTATGTCGACAAGCAAAAGACTTCAGACCCCCGAATTTTTTCAGTCCTCTAGGCAGAGATATTCATGGTTTTGAATCTTAAAAATTTCTAAAACTCTTAGCATTATCCCTGTTACCGATGCACCGGCTTGTGGTTGTGATGGGTACCGCCGTCTCAGATGTAGGGCTACTTTCTTTGTTGGGAATTGTAAGATGTCAAGTGTTTATGTGTTTGGCTCTAAAAAAGGACGGGGAAAATTGACTTATTGCCCGCAGAGCCTCTGAAAGCTGGCCTAAAAACCCAGGTTGCAACGCATCAGGCTTGCCAGTGCGATTACGCGTTTTTGCGCTAAACTTGCAGATCACTAAGAGCAGGAATGATTTCTGCACTGTATTTTGATATTTTGACTCATATTGGCTGTGTTTTGACCTTTTCAGCAAAAGCGCATAAAAAATATTTCATGCTTTTGTGATCCGCTTTACCGCTGGGGAGTGGGAGTTCTGCGAGTATCCACGTTAGTTGGCAAAAACTGGGGAAAGTGACGGTGCTTGTAGTAGTAGTGACGGCCAGTAATAATCACAGGTCAATTTTTTCAGATTGATCAGTGGAAAAGATTGCATAAGCTGGAGCTTCGACGAGATGAGTTGTACAGCGCTCCAGCTGTTTCAGTTGGAGCAGAGAAGCCACAAGCCGACGATGAGAGGAGTAGTAGTGATGATGATATTGATGTTGATCTTTTTTCTGGATGGAGGAGTAAAGCAATCTGACATGTCTCCCAGTTTTCAGATTATTTTTATGATTGTCTGAGGCAACAAACCATTGTTGTTCGGTCCTTCCAGCGAGTGGTTGCTATTGGCAAAGCACTTTCAACCAGAGGATCTCTCACAGCGAGTAAAGTTTGAAGGGTATTTTGCCATTTGACTTGAAAATATCATCCTTGCCAGTTGCTGAGTTACAAACTTTCTTTTTCTCAAATCTTTTCCTTCTTCCTTTCCCCATCCCTCCTTATTCCACCTAATCCCACTATCACATCGCTTTTCCTTCTTTCTGTTGTCTTCCTCTTTTCCTTTCCCGTTTTATTAAGCACTGCAACCGTCATACTGACGAGGTCCTGTCGCGGTGTTAAGGCATATATGACTCAGTGGGCCGGAACGTTTTATCTCACTTTTATATTCTCTTAATTTGTTCTCTCATACTGTAATCTATCGCCCCTTCATCATTCAGGCTTCCAGGACCAACCAGGTTGCTACAGTTGGCTTACAGACAAGCCAAGCCTGCCGTTTTTGGCGATCTCATTTTCTTGACTTGGAGCTGGATCCCATTAATGGTTATAATGTAGAAGCGGCTATCGCAAAGTCCTCGTAGCGGGAGGTCCGCTACTTGACCACTGTTGAGCGTTCGGAAGCATGAGGGTGAAGACGGCGATAAACCCTCTCAAAATGTGAGTTTTTGCGCTGCTTTTAAAGAATTTAGCTTGTGAGTGGAATTACAGAAACTCTTAGAAGACAATGAAAGAACTAAGATAGAAACGAGGAAGGAAAAGCCTCCACACGTTCATTTCCCAGTCCATGTACCATAAACAGCTTCTTTCTGAACAAGTTTTGTTGAAAATATCCAGCAAATGGGCATTCGAAACTCTGACAAGGTGACAGTGCCCCACTCTGCGGTGAAGCTGGAAAACAGGCTGGTGGCGGTTTCCACCCCCCTGACAGGCACCAGTACCAATTTACCATCGAAACAAATGAAAGGAAGTTTCGTAGAAAGATTGGTCATCTCACTGGATGTTCGGATCAACCACAAGACCGAGTGTAGCACTACAAGCTGTCGTGTCATTCCTATATTTGTAGATGTAGTTATTCCCGTAGCGTTACATTTTTGAATGTGATAAGCTGTTCAGGTGGAATTTTTAAAGTCGCAATACGTTTTTCTGGTTTTTCCAACGTGTGCTACTGTGATTCATGCGCAAAAAAAATAACTTTTTCCAAGTAACAACAATAAAAACATTTAAAAACTTGACAACTTGTAACAAAAAAAATTTGCATAACAATGTACGATTACGGAGATCACACAGACATGGTAGTACCTTCGCTACACGGGCCGCTCCTCCGTCAGTAGGTTAAGGTTTGTTAATAAAGAAATCAGGTTTTGGTGGCGCTAAAACACTTAAACTTTAGCTCAAGCTACTCAAAATCTTTTCTAAAATGGTTTGTTACATATACTTATTGCCGGCAGACATGGCGTGGCGGGAAATAGCGCTGTTAGGCAGCAGATCGAGGGTTCGATTCCGCCACTGGGACAACTAAGAATTCCCCTATGCCCCTATTCTCCTAAGAATTCCCCCGCGATTCCTTCATTCACTGCATATGCCAGGGAGTCAAACCTGTTGTTATCAGCTTGCTTGTAAGCAGTACTTGAATGGAGGAGCCATCGTAGAGAGTCTTGTCAACCGGTGGATGTTGCTCTTCGCATCTGCTATTATATTAGGGCTATTTCGAGTTCCTCCACTTTTCATCGAGGGCGGACATGGACAGGTTTCAAATTTTTGACGTTCTTTTTACATTCAATCACTGACAATCTCACCTTCAGACAATTCACTCTCATCAATGGGAGGTTTTGGTGGTTTTGGTTGTTGTTTTGGAGGTGGTGATATTGCTGCTGGTGCTGCTGCTGCTGCTGTCGCTGCTTTTCGATACAACGGCGATGCTACTCTCCGAGCGGGCGATGGTGCTCTTCGAGCGGGGGATACTGCGATTTTTCGAGGCGGCGAAGCCGCGGCTCTTCGAGATGGCGATGCTGCCTTTCGAGGTAAACGAGGGCTAGGTGATTTCTGTCGCGAAGGCGATATTCGGCGTCGCACGGGCTTTTCATTGGATGGTGAACGACGTCGGTGGTTGTTGGGTTTACGCCTTTCTTCCCATTTTCGGGGAGGCGAGCAACCACTCATCAAAGGCACCGGTGCCGGTGCTTCAGGAGCGCGAGGCAGGGGTATAGGCAGTGCTGGTATTGGTTGCTTCTCGCGTTTTTCTGGACCACCTTCCATCTGTATTCGCCGTTCCTCTAACGTCCTAAAACCAATCATTTTTGCCGTTATGGCGTAGACAACAATACAATGAAAGCAAGCCTTGCGCAGGAGGTTGGAAAAATGCAGTAACAGCAAATAACAAAGGTTTGTTTCTTAATTTTATAAGTTAAAAATAAAAATAACAAATCTCTGGAGCGCCCAGGAGTAGATAAGAAATGTGTGACAACTTCACTGCTAAATTGTTGACTTAATGCAAAGGATCACTGGTACTGTCGTGAAAAACCCGCGAAAAACTTGCTAAGAAAGCGCCATAAGAGAAAAGAGAAAAAAAGAAAGGTATCTTTTGTCTTGAAAGGCACACACACACACACACACACACACACACACATACACACAGTAGATGTGCTGCCAGGTTGAACATGGAGTACAAGGAACAATGGTGTAGTGGTAGCACATTGCGTCCGGATGTGAGTAGAAGTGGTTCGATTCCCTACCGGCTCAGAACAATTTCTGGAAAAGGGTTCCGTTCATGGCAGACACTTCACGCCACAAAAATTCACAATTAGGGTGGTCTTGCAGTATAAAAGTGTTACAAAAGTGCTATACCAAACTTCAGAATAGTCAAAACAAATCTGCGGTTTGTTATAGTAGTCGAATTTATACAAAAAAAAAAAAAAAAAAAAACTACTGCCAGGTGAGAAAGCTACAGTTCAAGTCATTACCAAGCAGCTAGAGCTCCTCGAGTTTTCCAGCTAGCTCTTCTCAAATCAGCAGAATAAGCAGTAAGCTCGTGCCAAATTTAATCAAATCGTCTTGAAGGAAAAAAGTGCGCAAAATCGCAATTTTCTAAGAAAAGCTCAGCATGACTCACCGTGGCTTACAGAGAGATAAATTTATCGATTTAACAAATGTAGGACCGTGCTCCTAGTCAAGAAAGTACCATCTCATCATGGCCCAAAGATGGCAGCGTTAGGGATAAGGTAGCGGTGTTTGGTGCAAACGAAGAGCGTTTCGGGACAGAGAAAGTCTTGCAAAGTGCGGGAAAAATGAGGTTAACCTTCTAGAAGATGGAACGAACAGCAAGCTAATCGCTTGATTCAGTACTGTCAACATAACTGAACGTAGCCGGCTTCTAGTGATCTAGAGCATGGATTATATGTGATCGAAGTACAGGATCATGAGAAATTCTCTTTCCGTGATATTTTAGTTTTATTTATCTGACGAAAAAAAAATGTACCTCCTCATGCTCTGCATTGCACTAATTTCTTTTGCAAGCATACTCATTTGAAGAAGTTGCGAATCCATTTCACTGCTTCGGCTACGAATCCGAAGTGCAAGGCGTATGAAAATACCACGTAGATCTTCAACTGGATAATCATCCAGATCCTGAGTTGTCACTTTCAGTCTGCTATCCAAATCTTCAAATCGTAATTTTACAGATCAAATAAAATCCAGCAGTAGTCATTATTTTAAATCTACGACAAGTTGATCGGGAAATCATAGGAGAATTCAAGCAAAAACTTAAAAAATATGCGAAAAAGGAAAAATAAACAACAGTGAGGTACCCCACACGTACCATCAACAATTTGACAAAGTCTGGGCTCATCGATTGAGATCAATTTTGGAGCGAGTTTCGTTGAATGTGCCTGTGCCCAAAGTTTGCTATCCTTCTTTTGTTTTGCATACAACAGAAACGGATCTGCAAAGATAGAAAAACAAAACGATGACAACTGAGGGGATTCAAGAAATAATTCCACCCCCCTTCCCCTCCCGCTCCCCTTAGTCGTGTTCTTAGAATTGCACTTGTCTGAAGTGAATTAGCGATGATCAACATACATCCAAGATATCTAGAAACGGCTAAAACCTCCTCCAATGCTTCTGTTGGAAGAACCGCTGAGCCAATAATCATTTCAGGAGATAAAGCCAATGTTAGCTTCTTTAACAGAGTGATCGCGAGGCGATGCTGCGTGTCAGTTAAAGGCAATAAGAACAGTTACTCGCTGCGTGGACAAAAAGACTATATACTGGTAACTGTCCAAAGTACTGCAAATAATTTTACAGTGCTAATAGACAATAAAATTGCAAATACCAGTCGAGACTTACTTGCCCAAACAGCCTTGAAATTTTCTTCTTTTAATACGTTGAATGGTTTTAGACAGACGTAATTTTCAGACGGCGATTCCGAACCCAAAATCTGTAATTCCGTGATTTTGCAAAGGCGAGATAAAAAATCATGTTTTATAGAAAGAGGGTAATACAGGGTTTGATGAATTGATAATTAGGACATACCTAACGAGTTCGAACCGCTGATCTGAATCTATCATCAGCTGAGCCTCTTTACGTCCAGCTAACTCGTTTAAAAGAAAAAAAGTACTTCCCTGCCAACAGCTAAACAAGTATTTTAGAAATTTTAAAACTACAAACAATGAATATTCCTGGCTAGGAGATTGGAAGAGGACGGAGGCCTGAAATCATCTAAGTGTGAATATACACAGTTTGTTTGGCGCTGCTGGCCCACCGTGGAGAGGAGCACAATCGAATTTTGACAATTAGGGAAAAAAACTGGAAGTCCCGTTTAGATCTCCCAAATAAGCAGGTCTGTATATGTGGTGACCAAGTAACTAGTCTGGTAACTTGCACCCTAAATCCAAAGTAACAAACAAAAAAGTGTACCACTGACATTCTGGCCATGGCTAGTACGACTGGCTGCCACTAGCACTGTTATCACGCTTAAACTTACGCTAGTTCCCAGTATCTCCATCTTCACATGCTCAGAGAAGGTTGGGTGGAAAAAAGCTGGGATGATGGGTGGAAAAAAAGTAGACAGTACAGAACGTAAAATATGCACAGCACAAAAAAAATGGTCAACAAAGAATGTTATTTGTCTTGTCAACAATTGTTAAGGTTCTGTATCAATAATGTGGCATCCGCGAAAAAGTAAACGGCCAATTGAACGTCCCTGAACCGTAAGCGGA